TTGATAAGAATGTTGTTTATTGGTCCAGTGGTGAGGATTTTTGTTTTTCTGACATTGAAATGCAACCCATACAGAAGGCTGTGCTCTTTGATCTTCATCAGTAAATATTTCAAGTCCTCTTCCCTTTCAGCAAGCAAGGTTAGAGAGATGCAAATCAAAACAACGAGATACCATTTCACACCAGCAAAGCAATAACAATGAAATTCAAAAATGCAGAGGACAATAAATGCTAGAGATGATGTGGAGAGACTGGGACTCTCCTACATTTCTGGTGGGAATGCAAAATGGTCCAACCACTCTGGAAAACACAGTGGTGCTTCCTCAGAAAGTTGGAAATAAAAATACCTATGATCCATCAATTCCTCTACTTGGTATATAGCCACAAGAAATACAATCCATAATATGAGTAGATACATGTACACCAATGTTCATAACTGCACTATTCACAATAACAAAAAGATGGAGACAGCCTAAGTGCCCATCAATGGAAGAATGGATAAACAAACTTTGTTACATACATACAATGGAATATTATGCTACCTTGAAACATAACAAGGAAGCTGTAAGCCACCACATAACAAGGATGAACCTTGAGGACATTATGCTGAGTGAAATTAGTCAATCACAAAAGGACAAATATTGTATAAGACATTCCTTTACTTTTATAACTGATTTAATATTTTTAACATGTAGGGTCATGTGGGGGCAAGAGGACCACCTGGGAGTCAAGGTCCTAAAGGAAGAAGTGTAAGTATCCAATAAAGGAAATACCTTAACCAACATGCATAATACCATGCATTCTAGTATTGTGCTTGGATGTTGTTGGGTTTTGTTTTGTTTTTTCCCTCTTGTTATTAAATTTGAACTGCCTACATTAATTAAAGGAGTTCTGATGTGGTGTTGTGGGCTAATGTGCCAGAGTGCAGAGCCGTTTGAACTGCAAGGTCGGTGGTTCAAGCTCACCAGTCACTCCTTGAAAATCCTATGCAGGGTCGCTATGGGTCAGAACCGACTCAACGGCACTTAACAACAACAACAACACATTAATTAAAATAATTCATAATTGTTTGACTTATAAAACCATATTTTTCCATTTTATTTTCAACAAATATAACTAACTTATATAGAACTCTTCTTTCTTATTCCCAACTTCTAATTATTTGGGATAATTGTGAATGTAAAGGTCTTTAGCTAAATTAGTTGATTTACAGACTTGGAAACCCTATACAGGGTCGCTATGACTCGGAACTGACTCCACAGCACATAATCACCACCACCACCACTCAAACATACTTATATATCAAGGAATGGTAAACATCACGATAAAATAATGGTGATAAGAAATAGAATAAGGAGACACTGAATGACCAAAAAATTAAACAGGAATGGTTTGTTGTTAGGTGCCATTGAGACAGTTCCAACTCTTATCAACCTTATATACAATAGAATAAAACACTGCCCAGTCCTATGTTCTCCTCAAAAGCCTTGACTTGCAATTGTATTTGAGACCATTGTTGTAGCCACTGTGTCAATCCATCGCTGAGAATTTTCCTCTTTTTTGCAGGTCCTCTATTTTACCAAGCATAATGTCCTTCTCTAGGTGTTGTTCCTTTCTAAAAACACGTCCCAAATTTGTGAGGCAAAGTCTCTCCATCCTTAACTCTAAGGAGCATTCAAGCTCCACTTGTTCTAAGATTTTTCTGTTCTTCTGGCAGGTGATAGTATATTTAATATTCTTCTCGAACACCATAATTCAAAAGCATCCATTCTTTCCAGCCTTCCTTATTCATTGTATAGCTTTCACATGTCTATAAGGCAATTGAAAATACTGTGACTCAGGACAGTCATATTTCAGTCCTCAAGGTGACATCTTTGCCTCTAACACTTAAAATTCTTTTGCAACAGATTTGTCCAAATCAATATGTCATTTTTTTTTTTTTTCTTGACTGCTACTTCCTTGGGCATAGATTGTGGATCCTGGACAACTTCAATCTTTTTTCCATTTATCATAATGCTATTCATTGATCAACTTGTGAGAATTTTTATTTTCTTTATGTTGAGATGTAATCCATACTAAACACTGTGGTATTTGGTCTTCATCTGTAAGTACATGAAGTTCTTTTCCTTTTCAGCAAGCAAAATTGTGTCATCTGCACATCACAGGTTGTTAATGACTCTTCCTTCCATCCTGATGCCACCTTCTTCTTATAGCCTACTTTCTCAGATTATTTGCTCAGCATACAGATTGAGTAAATATGGTAAAAGGATACAACCCTGGTGCACACCTTTCCTGATAGTAAATCGTTCAGTATCCCCTTGTTCTGTTCTAATGACTGTCTCGGACTAGGTAAAGGTTCCTTATGAAAACAGTTAAGTATTCTAGAATATCCATTCTTTGCAATGTTATCCATAGTTTGTCATGATCCATACAGTCAAAAGCCTTTGCACTGTCAATAAATCACAAGTAAAAATCATAACCTATTTTAATTTGATTTCCCAAGTATTTGACTTTATAAAATATTGCTTTAAGTATACTTCTTTTTCACTAAGTACATTTAAAGCAATAGTTTTTTTTTTTTTTTTTTGTATTTTATTTATCTAGATAAATTTTATTCTACCAATGTCTAGTGCCTGGTGTGGAGTTCTAGTGTGGCGCTGTAGGATCAGCACTAGACTGCTAATTACAAAATTGGTGGTTCACTCCTTGAAAACCCTACCAGGTTGCTATGAGTCAGACTGACTTGACGGCACTTAATAACAATAGTGTCTGGTGCAGTGCTGTAAGATAAGCACTGGACTTTTAACTGTAAGGTCAGTAATTCAAACCTGCCAACTGCTCCCTCAGAAACCCTATACAGGATCGCTATGAGTTGGAACCGACTTGATGGCACTTAACAGTGCCTCTAAGTGATTCAAATAAATCAAATGAGGAAATGATGCAGCAAGGTATTATATTAAATCATAAATGTTATTGGACATATGAGATATATACCAAAACCAAGTTCACTGCCATTGAGTCAATTCTGAATCATGACAATGCAATATAGCTTTTCCAAGATAGTAAATTGTTACAGGAGCAGAAACTTTCATCTTTCTCCCATGAAGCAGTTGGTGATTTTAAACCACTAAACTTGTGGGTGGTTAACAGCCTAATGTTTATCCAACATCACCACCAAAACTCCTTATGGGATACATACAAAAAAAGGAAAAAAACAAAAACTCTTTGACATCTAGTCAGTTCTGACTCATAGTGACCCTCTTTAGAGTTTCCAAGGCTGTATTTTTTTTTTTTTCTAATTTAAGGTTTTTATTGTGGATTGAGTGGAAGTTTACAGGGTACATCATCAGTTTCACATTCAACAATTCATATAACTTGTTGCATTACATTGATTATAATTCCCTCCATATATTACATTGATTATAATTCCCTCCATATACCATCAGTTAAAAGTATTTCTCTGTATCCACTTTTTTTTTATCATTGTGAATTGTGTGATAGTCTACATGGGAGAACATCAGCTTTACATTCATTCCATCATCCATCATTTCATTGGCATAGTTACCATCCCGTCCATTCTTCCTCACCCAACCAAGGGGTGTACCCTGTAAGCCTGCACCGCCCCCCACCACAGTCCTCAGCCCCTTTCCATCTCCTGATCCCAAGTCCCCAGCCACCCCATCTCTTGACGTCATCTTCTCTGCCTCCATCTCAGGCCTCACCGCCTCTCCGGGTAGGATTCTGCTCTTCGCTCTTCTCCATCGATGGTCCCAGGGTCCTCCTCTCCTAGACTGAGAAGTTAATCACTCCCCTCTTTGCTACAAAATGTCCATCTTTAGATTTCCAACCCTCACAATCAGTCCTGATAACAATTATTTACCATTGCATCATAAGAGACCCATCTGTATTTCATTTCATCAGCCCTTCCTGGACAGGCTGGACACTAGACACTGGAGACTCTACCTTCCTCCATACCCTTTGGATCTAGGTTCCCTCTTGAAAACTTGTAAGCCAGTCACTTCTTGCCTTTGTATCC